GTCGCCGCACATGTAGGACATTGATTCCTTCCTCCAGCCCATAACCGAAGATACATACCTCTGTACGCACTTGGGGTTGAGGGAAGAGTCTGCAAGAGCTTGAGCATTGCACCCGCAATCCACTGATCATAGTTGCAATGCTTTAAAAGCACCAGTGCAAACAATTTATACTTTTTTTCCAAAAGGGGACTATTCCTTTGATGAGCAACACTATAGCCTTACAACAAGCTCTGACTTCTCAGCTGACCTCTCTAGCTGCTTTTAATACTACGTTAATGCTTCTCAAAGATCCTGAAAGGCCACAACAATCACTTGAATAGTTAGGTTTCAGTTGTTTTATCTCCTACACCTACTGGTTGTTACATCAGAGGGCCGGCAGCCTGCCAAGATTTTTTTCTCACAGAAATAAGCTAAGCCTGTGATGTGAACTTTGAAATGAAAGTTTAACTCCAGGCACAAAAAAACAGCATTTAAGCAGTTATACATTCTATTCAATATAAAGCCATCCCCCTTTCCCTGTCATTGAGACTTTCTGTCAGGGAAAGTACAGGTCCCACTGCACTTTCAGCCCATTTGGATGCAAGCACTGCAAGTCCTATGGATCCTCTCTTCCTGGCAATTTACAAAACAAAGGCTTAGGCTGCATTCACACATAGCTTTTGCGGTTCCCACATGGTTTACCTCGTGGAAGACCGTTTGGGACAAAAACACTAATGTTTCCTTAATCCGTGTGGATGCCGCCCGCTATTAAATAGCTGCGAACGTGTGGAATCCGCCGGATTATGGCGCTTGCACTATTTTTGTGTTTGGAGCTGCTCCACGCGTATTCTGCTGTACGGATACGCGCGAAGCCGCTCAGGTGTTAATGGAGCCTTAGGCTGTATGTTTTAAGGAATTGGAGGTGGAGACATGACCGTAGTGCTGTGGTTGAGCTTTAATTTTTTCACAATGGTTTTAGATACAGAGATGAATAAGGGCTTCTTTTAAAGTGCATGATTTGTGCTCAGGTTCAGTTTAAATTTATATCTTGCATTGCATTTTTATGCTTCCATTTTTTTCCCATTCTTGCTGCAGGATCATCCATACTACACCTATAAATATAGCCACCTACTAAATTGTAGACTGCTTTGAGATTACTACTAGTCACTTAAAATATCTGAAGGGTTGATAAAGTGCAGACAAACCTGTCAGATAGTCGTATAAATAAATGTACAGTAGAGGTGACCTCTTCTCAGTGGAAAGTGTGTGCACAATGTGAGTTCAGATAAACAGACATAAATCAGTGAATAAGCATCCCATAAAATGTCCCATAAACAACACATAACAGTATGCAGAAGCAAGAAAGCTTGCCCCATGCACCTGTCACAAGGAACCCGGAAAAGGTTTGAGCACAACAAAGGAGGTACGTTTACTCAGCAAGTATGCAAATTTAGTCATCAGACCAGGAAGGATGGACTGG